TTTTATTTTATTTTATTTTATTTTATTTTATTTTATTTTATTTTATTTTAATTTTACTTTATTTTGTTTTTTATTGAAGTAAAATTGGCATATAATATCCTATTAGTTTCAGGTATACATATAGTGATTCAGTATTTTTATACATTCTGAAATGATCCCAAATTAGTCTAGTTACCATCTGTCACGATACAAAGTTATTACAGTGTTATTAACTATATTCCATTCCCAGTGATGCAAATTACATCCCCATGGCTTATTTATTTTATAACTGGAAGTTTGTATATCTTAATACCCTTCACCTATTTTGCCTACCCCTCCCCCCCATCCCTCCTCTCTGGCAGCCACCAGTTTGTTTCCTGTAGCTATGAGTCTGTTTCTGTTTTGTTTATTCATTCATTTTATCTTTTAGAGATCACATATAAGTGAAACCATGTGGTATTTGTCTTTCTTTATTTCTTTGTTTCTTTTTGTTTTTTTGAGAAAGAGAGAGAGGGAGAGGGGCAGAGAGAAAGACAGAATCTTAAGCAGGCTTCATGTTTGGTGCAGAGCTCTACTCAGGACTCAATACCATGACCCTGGGATCATGACCTGAGCCAAAATCAAGAGTCAGACGCTAAACTGCTTGAGCCACCCAGGCACCCCATGCCCCAAGATTTCATTATTTTTTATGGCTGAGTAATATTCCATTACACACACACACACACACACACACACACACACACACACACCTTTCTCCATCTATCAGTGGACACTTAGGTTGCTTCTGTATCTTGGCTGTTATAAATAATGTTTCAATGAATATGGACTTGCCTATATCTCTTTGAAAATGTGAATAAATTTTTTTATTTCTTTGGATACTCAGAAGTGGAATTGCTGGGTTGTATTATAGTTCTATTTTTAATTTTTGAGGAAATTAAACCTCCTTACTGTTTTCCATAGTGGCTGCACCAGTCTACATTCCCACCAGCAGTGAGTGAGGATTTCCTTTTCTCCACATCCTCACCAGCACTTGTTATTTTTTGTCTGTTTTGGTAATAGCCAATCTGATCTGTGTGAGATGATATCTGATGTGGTTTGCATTTGCATTTCTCTGATAATTAGTGATGTTGAGCACATTTCCATGTGACAGTTGTCCACCTGTATGTCTTCTTTGGAAAAATGTCTATTTAAGTCCTCTGCCCATTAATTTTTTTTTTTTTGATATGGGACAAGAATATAGACCATAGAAGTGTAGGTCTATTTCTGGGGTTTCTATTCTATTCCATTGATGTATATCTGTCTGATTCCATTGATGTATATCTGTTTTGTGCCAGTACATAGCTTTGATTACTATAGCTTTGTACTATAGCTTTGAAATCAAAGACTGTGATAACCTCCAGCTTTGTTTTTCTTTTTCAAGATTGCTTTGGCTATTTTGGGTCTTTTTTGGTTCCATACTAATTTTAGGATTCTCTGTTCTAGTTCTGTGAAAAATGCCATTGGTATTTTGATGGGGATTGCATTGAATCTATAGTTTACTTTGGGTAGTATGGACATTTTTAACAACATTAATTCTTCCAGATCATGAGCACAGTGTATCTTTTCATTTATTTGTGTCATCTTAAATTTCTTTCATCAATGTCTTACAGTTTTCAGGTACGGGTCTTTTAATTCCTTATTTAAATTTATTCCTAGGTCTTTTATTCTGTTTGATGCAGTTGTAGATGGGATTTTCTTAATTTCTCTTTCTGGTAGCTCATTATTAGTGTATAGAAATGCAACCGATTTCTGTATGGTAAGTTTGTGTCCTCTGAGTTTACATATTTCATTTGTTAGCTTAAGAGTTTTTGGTGGAATTTTTAAGGTTTTCTATATATAGTATCATGTCGTTTGCAAATAGTGACAGTTTTACTTCTTTCTTTCCAATACAGATGTCTTTATTTCTTTTTCTTGCCTAATTGCTATGTCCAGGACTTCTAATACATTGTTGAATAAAAGTAATTAGACTGGGCATACTTATTCCTGATCTTAGAGGAAAAGCTTTCATTTTTTTCATTGTTGAGTATGATTTGGCTGTGGGTTTGTCATAAATGCTCTATCATGTGGAGGTACATATTTTTTTTAAATTTTTTTTTAACGTTTATTTATTTTTGAGACGGAGAGAGAGACAGAACATGAATGGGGGAGGGACAGAGAGAGAGGGAGACACAGAATTGGAAGCAGGCTCCAGGCTCTGAGCCATCAGCTCAGAGCCCGACACGGGGCTCAAACTCACGGACAGTGAGATCGTGACCTGAGCTGAAGTCGGACGCTTAAACGACTGAGCCACCCAGGCGCCCCTATGTGGAGGTACATATTTTCTATACCAACTTTGTTGAGAGTTTGCTTATAATAGGTACACTTTTAAATCATCTCTAATTAAGCACTACAAGTTTTGAGGACTTGGAGCTTCTCTTATCTTTAGGTATACCCCTCTATACTTTACGGTATTCCTTACCCATACTAGGTGCCTGGTGGATATTTTGCTACTGTCTGTTTCTCCAGTCAGATAGTGAGGCTCTAAGAGGAGGGATCTCTGCTTATTTTTGCTCATCAGAAGCCTGAGATCAACAAATATTTTTGGATGAATGAATTACTTTAGGATTTTTGTTCTCTCTTGCAGAAGAATGCATAGGAGGCATGAATAAGTTTCTTCTAGTAAGTCAGGAAGGGAAGTGATGAGTGAAGAGCAAACATAACTCCAGAGAATAATCTGAAATTAGCTTTGATTTTGCCACCATATGATCCTACCATATTCATTTTATATTACTTGGTCCTCATTAGCTCAGAACATACAACCAGCTTTTAAATTAAAGGAAACCCATTTAAGAATTTTAGACTTGGGACACCTGGCTTGCTCAGTCAGAAGAGCACACGACTCTTGATCTCAGGGTTGTGAGTTTGAGCCCTGCATTGTGTGTAGAGATTACTTAAATAAATAAAAGTTAAAAAGCACTGCAGACTTAATGTAGGAAAATTTCTGATTTGAACCTTCCCCATCAATGTTTTAGGTTTTTAAAACATATCAAATCCATAAATGAACTCGTGCTAACTCAGTCTGAAGCTACCATTTATATGTATTGGATCTTTGGCTGTTTACCTGCCGAAGTGTAAAATTAATTTCCTGGCTTTTAACATATGTCATTACAGACTTTGTCAATGTTTGAAGTGTAAAATCACATTCTGCAGCTCTAAAAGTGATTTGCAAAAAAAAAAAAAAAAGGCCCTTAGTACTCAATTATAGAGGAATATTGAATTATTCTATATTGATTAATGAAGTACTAAGTTGCAACTAAATAGCTTATGAGAATTATATATCAATAAGGAACAATATTTATGATATAATGTTAATTATAAAAAAAATTATATTATGTAGTGATTGCAGCCAGGTACAATTATGTATTACTATGAACTGGAGTGATCAACCATCCTGGTTTGCCTCTGACTATTTAGGTTTTAGCACTGAAAGTTCTGCATCTCAGGAAATCCCTCAGTCCCAGACAGACTGGGATGGTCAGTCACCCTCTTAGGAACAAATTGCCAAAGGGATAATTGGAGAGAAAAGTCATAGCAATGATTTTCATTCTTCTTTAACAATAGACATTAATGGTGTCTCAAAAGGAGTTATGTGAGGTTAGTACAAACTGATTATGATTTGAGATCATAAAAATGAATAAAATAACTAATATAACATTACGTTAATTATACTTGAACAAAAATACATATATATAATAAAATTTATTTTTTTAAACCTTTTTCTTTATATATTTATTTGAGAGACAGAGACAGCATGAGTGGAGAGGGGCAGAGAGAGAGGGAAAGAGAGAATCCCAAGCAGGCTCCATGCTGCTTGCGCAGGGCCCGATGAGGGTCTCAAACTCACAAAACCAAGAGTTGGACGCTTAAGTGACTGAGCCACCCAGGCGCCCCAAGAAAATAAAATAAAATTGTTAAAGACACAATGGTTTTGGAGAGGGATCCTCACATATATTTCAGAAATGGAGAAAATAAGATAGAAGACAGAGCTTATCTTCTTTGAAGATTTTCTCATTAGTTTTTTCCTTGGTCTGCCATTGCTCTCTTCCCTTTCCACTAGTTCAGGCACATTCCGGAGTGCTCAGTGTGAGAAATCAGTTATTCGATTATTAAATCTTCTGTGAAAACTTTCCTTGGGAATGCATGTGTGTAAGAATACACTGACACCCGAGGGCACCTGGGTGGCTCAGTCCATTGAGCGTTGGACTTTGGCTCGGGTCATGATCTCACAGTTTGTGAGTTTGAGCCCCACATTGGGCTTGCTGCTGTCAGCACAGAGCCTGCTTCGGATCCTCTGTCCCCCTCTCTCTGTCTGTCCCTCCCGCACCCACATTCTCTTTCTCTCTCAAAAATAAAAATAAATATTAAAAAAAAAAAAAGAATACACTGATATACATAGCTGATGTCGTGACATCCCGCAGTTCAAACCCGTGTTGGGATTATGTGAATATAAACTTAAGGCTATAGGAGCCTCCCTTGTGGTCTGACGTTACAAGAATAGAGAAGACTGGGAAAACACTGTGTTGGAATCATCTGTTTCAGACAAGAACACAAATAGAGTTTTATTTATTTAAGGCTGATTTTCAGGACTTTACATATAGAGATGTTTCATCTCTTTTTTTTTTTTTTTTTTTTTCTAAGCACAGGAAAGATCTTCTCTCGGTGGTCCCTAACAAAGTAGAAATATCACAAGGCATGGAAATTGCTTTGACTGTTGACCTGCCAGAATCTCGCAGGGTTTATCCTATAGAAAATGCCCAAATGTAATTGATAGATTATAAACATTCTTCCTATGTAAGGTACTAGTATCTCTGAATATGAACAGGAATTGAGAAGTAGGGTAGCGATTGCCTGAGATTTGGCATTGTAACTAATTACATTATTTTCAAACATGATCTTTTTTGAGAACGTCCATAGTACTTAGTGTCTGCATTATGTAACCTAACAACCAAGTACATATTAATGATGTGAGTAGTTTTCCAAATGTTGTGAATGTCTGTGTTTTTTTATCCCTGAGAAGCAAAACTTGATTTCTGACTCTTCTGTGTCTCTCCGAACACCTATTTTATGCTGATCAGAGAGTAGGTGCTTATTAAAACCTGTTGACTTTGCTCAGGTGGTTTATACAGGCTGTTTGGTTATTTAAAACATTTTAGGATTAGAGTAGGAAGATACGGGTACAAAAGAAGGCTCTCAAAATTGCTAGCTGTGACCATTAGCAAATTACCTTTACTTATTTTTAAGTTACTTAGCCTCTTTGAATCATTTGTAAAATATGGATAGGGATTTTTTTTTCTTGATGATGGAAGATCAAATGTAATTATTTCATAAACTACTCTGTGAAATGGAAATTACAAATACAACCGTTGATTATCATTTAAGATGTGGGTACTCATTATGGCATCTTCTTTGATTCTTTCTTCTCTTGCCTAAAGGCTGAAAGTAGGTAGACAGTGCAACCAAGAGCCTAGAGCAGGAGTTAGGGAAAGTTAAGACAGATACAGACATGCCCATTTATAAGCTGCGCTGTTTGTATGAAGAAAGAGCTGGGTGTTGGCCACTAAGAAGTTCCCTGGTGGGGTGTAGGCACTCTAAGAGTGTACCACAGTGTCAGCCCCGGAGAAAGATAGCTGGACTAGTTCCTTATCTCACCTCCCTACCATTACTTTTTACTCTCTTTAGGACAGTGGTGCACAAGGGACTCCACAACATACGTAGATGTGGAACGAATTAAAGGAAGTGTAGGGATGGCCTGCACAGTGGTTTATCTTTTTCATCAGGGGCAGAGTCTCTCTGTTGCAGAGGGACGAGGTGGAACCTCTACTCCGACCGCTACTGCAAAGCCTCGCCCGGGAAGGAGGCCGGTGAGCACTGCCGAGGTGCAGCCCTTGCTCTGCCTTGTTTGAATTTCAGTAAGCTGCCCCAGACAGGAAACGTGCCGACATAGTCGCCTGCCATGGCTGGATTCTCTGCGTGAGAGAGCGAGCGCGCGCGAGCGAGTGCCAGTGAGCTGTGGTCACTCCGTGCGAAGGCCAGAGAGACATGTGGAGGGTGCCTGCAGAGGGCCTCAGGAAATGAGGGTGAATACGTCTCTTGGAAGCTGTGAACACTAATGCCTAAGAAAAGGAAACAGAAGACAGAAAAAGAATAGTTTAAGGAATGCTATCGTTTTCTATCGGTGAAGGTTCCTGGTCTTGAGGAGGTTCCGGAAAGTTCATTTCCGTTTCCTCCTCCTCTTCTTGGACTGGAATGATTTCAATGTCTTCTTCATTCTTTGGTTGGGAAGATACTTCAGTCAGCTCGACCGCTTCTTCTGTTATTTCAACTAGCTGTTCTTTTTTTTCTTCGGCAGCTAGCAGGACAACTACATCCTGGAATACAAAATTAAACAAGCGTTTCTAGACCTTTACTTTTGGTGCATTTGTCAGCAGTGTCTGTGAATGTCTATCAAAGACCTCCTGTTTTCTGTGCCGTTTATGCTTTTTCCTATATGCCTCCAGATACCAGGACTGATTTCCCACGTGCCCAGATCCTCACCAAATCACCCATCAAAGCTCATCTGCAAGATCAGCAGATATTTGCCACTTTGCCTGGAATGATCACACGGTATTTTGGGAAAGAACGCTGCAGTAATGGGCGAATTTAGATTCGAGTTTTGATTTGCCTTTTATTGCCTGTAACCTTGGGAAGGTAATTTTCTCTCTAGTCCTGTTTTTCTCATCTGCAAAATGAAGGACTTGTGACAGTCTCTCGGTTGTATCGTGAATCTAACATTCTGTGGTTCTGAAGCAGTTGATGCAGCTCTGTCACGGGGATATTCGTATCTCCCAATTGTGGAGCCTCTTTGACCCATAGTTTTGGAAGTGGGATCTGATGAAAGGGTGGCGGTGGGGCGGGGTGGGGAGGGGAATGCTGGGAAATGAAGTGGACGATCTGTCTGGCTTCCGCACGTTACATGTGGGATCACGAAATCAAGATGGACGCCTGGAGCGGGGCAGAGCTGAAGGCTTGTGAGCACACGTACTGCAGGGCTGTATCCTCTGTCTAACCTTTAGACTGGCTTCAAATTTCAAGACACTTTTTCCTCATTATTGGTATTCTCTGCTTTCCAGAAATCTGCCTAGACCATTTTTCATGAAGCTCCTAGTCTCAAAGTTACGTCAGATTACGTTCTCCAGAAATGAGTTTTTGTAGACGTGATTTCCTAGAGGGGCTTAGTGGACAGGATGACTACTACTCACAGCTTTAGGTTTGGAGCACAGTTTTTTCCATTCATTCTCAACAATGCCAGCTGTCACAAGTTTCTGGAATAAGGTAAAGACCACCATCACGGCAAAAATGCTCTGAGGAACGACAGAAAAAGTGAAGGCAAGAATGTGATAACAGCTTAAAGAATATGGTTGGTACTCAGTAAATGACTCTTGGCTACAATTAAATGACTAAAAGATCAGTTCTGTAGAAGATGGGTTCTTTAGAAGATGAATTCTATAGGTGAGTAATGACCAACTGTAAACACTACTAGTTATCTTCATAACCCCGACCCTTAGCACAGCTGCCTTCACAGACGGTTAATGCATGTTGCTGATAGGAAATAAGGCAGCAGCAATTAGTTGAAGAATCAATTCTATGTAGGAAAAATTAATCAGTGACTCCCAAATTAAGTTGTATCCAGCTTTAGGTGTTATGGTATCACAACCAAGGAAACCTGTCTATACTCGGGAGATGCATTTTCCCCTTCAGAGTCTCCACTAAAAACTCACTGAGGCAAAAGGTGTTCATAAAGCTTAGGTGCTTCTTCAATGTTCACCTTAATCGTGCTAATAAATGTTAACCGATACTAATATAAAAATGTTAAACAAACACATAGCACCTTCTGTGTACCAGTTCTAAATGTTTTTGTATATGTTAACTTACTGCTCAAAACAGCCCTGTGAGGTAAGTACTGGTACTTTCCCCATTTTACAGTTGAAGAAACTGAGGCAGAATGTGGTTAAAATTCTTGCCCCAAAGCCAGATAGGCAGTAAGTAGCAGATGTAGCCAGTCTGGATCCAGAGTTGGCACTCGTAATAAAAATGCCAGACTTCTTTCCTGAGAAGAAGTCCAGTCTCACACTTACCAAGAAAACAGATCGTATGCTGTCACAATATTTTATAGACAGAGAGTTTTTCTCAGAGGGCTTACTCTCTGGTTGACAGGTGTGGATGTCAATATATGGCTTGGGACTTTTAAGAAGATTCAGATTCTCCATTTTAAAAAAATGGGAAATTGCAATATTAAATATGTCCATGATCAAAAGAATCATTCCAGAAATAGCAGCAAAGAGGCTCAGTGAGTTCATTATCATTTTCCCTTTGACCTGAAATGGAGACATAAAGACATGTTAATGGGGTTTGATTTCATTTGGAGAATACCAGGTAGGAAGGAATTCCAGATCCCATTCCTCCCATTCATAAAGGCACTGCACCCAAATCATCCTAAGCCACACTTCTCTCAGTGGTTTTTAATGTCCTTGTCACCGTAAAATGAAAACTTTCATCTCTCATTCCTGTTCCTTCCTCAGTCTTCCTCATCTCATTTTACCCTGTCACATCCAATCAGTTTATCAAGAGAAAATTTTAGGAATACTCCTAAATTCTTCTATTTTGCATCCTTGCAGTTCCTTTCACTGCCCCTACCACCACGCTGGTGGCATTCGGCAAATACTGGCTAAGTGAAGATAAATAGTCTTCAGCTTATATATGTCTGCATTAGAAGGTAGAGGGAAGAAAGGGAAGGAGGTTCTTGCATCACCATGAAGTGGGTGTAGGGAGGGAAAGCGCAGAGAGAGCCCTCTGGGTCTCTACCATCAAGTGGAAACTAACAGTAGCAAGAACACCACCACCTACTCCCTATTGACATGGGTTGCAATCAGCCTCAGTCTACCATCTTCCAAAACATAATTAGGTCCGATGCCTCGGGGTAGCACCGGTGAAGGGTGTCAGAATGAGTTCTCCCTGCAGGGATGATAGAAGGTCAAACCAGGAGAATATAAGTGACAGGTACCATAATAGTATGGGATTATTGATGGTTATTTTAAGACCTATATAGTTCATCCCTGGCTGTAGGACCTACAGATTGCAAGTCAGTAGGACTTGCTGTATCTGGAGAATAAAAACAACTTGATCTTCCTAAATATTTTTTTTTCTTCAAAAACTGAATTTAGCAGACCATCTCTTGAGAGGAGCCATTTCAATCCACTCCATCCGTCACTGGCTTTGGAAGTGCCACAAGTCAGCAATAGCTTATTAGTAAGTATAAAAAACTTGGGGGAGGAAACTTGCTGGTAAGCTCATGACCTGGGAGTAAGTGTGTTGGGAGGGTTATAGGACAAGACCCTCTGTAGCTCCTTATATAGCCCCTGAAGCACCTGCGTGTATGTTACTCCATGACATACTCATGACCATATGGTAGCATTATTTTATAGAGGTACGGAGGGGCCAACTGACTTGCTCAAAGTTAACGAGGATTGAGTTAATCACGGTATTGATTAGAGTTTTCCTAAAGGGTGGTCTGAGAGAAAGTACACGGCTTTCAAAGAGACCTGTTAGTCTCACACATTTAACATTCATAAGACCATAAGCATGTGGCTGTTCTTTGGTCTGCCTTTAATTCTGTTTCCGCGGACGTAATTCAGGTAGGCCTCATTTCCAAGTTTTTCATGAATAAAATCACAACAGCTTTCTAGAGAATCTTTTGCCTTTTGGGGTTGAGAGAGAACTCAGTGCTACTGTGATTCCAAAGGTGTGTAAGCGTTTTTGTTTTCAACTGAGAAAGTAGGCATTTCTCGGATGCGTGGGGAAGAAGGACATACGATTACTTGCCAAACTTTTCCTGGGGTTTTTCTCCGCTGCTACCAGGAGTGATCCAGAAATGATATACTGTGAAAAGAGAGGTGGTGGGTGGGGAAGGTATGGGATAGATGGGAGAGGAGGCAGACAGGGAGGGAGGCAGAGAGGGAGATGGCTTTTAACGTGGAGAACTGGTTGTTAAAAAGCTATCCACATTTCCAACCACTTTCACCAAACTGTCCAGCCATTTTTGCAGTATTCACTCATTTTTCAGCAGTCATAGTTCTCCTTTTTGCATGCTCAGCTATATTCAGCTGATGCCTTTTATGCAACTAACTGGGGAGCTGCGACCAGGAATATAGTAAGACCAGAGGCAGAACACAAGTTTTTGTGCCAACGAATACTACTAACACTGTGAATTTAAAAGCTTTATTTTTAGTTTCTCTCTTTTCTAAGTTTGTGGAATTTCTCTTTGGAGTTCACAGTGATTTCACTGATTGTGATGCCAGGGAAGAATGAATCAAGGTGGCCTGAGTGCCACGGGCACACGCCATTAAAACGTTTGCTGCTACAGGAATTGATGGTGATCATTTCCCATCTTCCTTGTTCAAGCTATGAAATGGAGGGGACGCTTGCTCTCATCCATCTCTCTTTGTTTTGAACATCTCAGTCCTGGGCGTATCTTTCTGGTAGTAACTGTGAAAGTCTAATGGGGATATAAACATGACTCCTCTGTACCACACCCAGACACGGTTAGAAAACATGTACATGAAACAGTCATGAGGATTGCTCATGACAGATTGCTGCTCTGCTGGTCAGCCAGAGGAGATTCGTTTGCGATGGGACTGATATCACCACCTGAGATAGTAGCTAAAGAGAATTGTAGGAAGAAGGAATAGGTGGGAGGAAATGGGATGCGCCTGCTCCTTCCTGCTTCTGGAAACACCCCGCCGCACAGTCCAAATGTTTAGTGCCCTTCTCACCCCTCTCCACATTGACTTTGGAGAGTCCTGCTTTGAGCGGTCTTCCTTCCCTGTGTAGATCCATGCAGGGCACCTCTTTCTGAATGTACATGAAGTGTGACCACTGACTCAGGGAGATTCATACTCGGTTCCGTCAACCTCTCCTTCCACTAAATTACTGTCACCTCATAACCTATTTCCCAGCCACATACTTGCCTCATCACAGAAATAATCTAGCATGCTATTGTGGAGCTTTTAAACCTTTTTGTCTGCATCACTGCCCAAAGGGCTGTTAGTTGTTACTCACCATAATACCTCCCCAGAGAGGGTACCACACAGTCATACAGATGGGTGCATAGACCTCCATGTGGATCATCAGGAGGCCACCTAGGGCCATGTGGAAGAGCCCGTTCATAATCTGGACAGCCTGGAGAGAGAATTAGGGGTCTGATGAGGAACTCAAGTCATCATCAAGTCAGAAAGCAAAGGCTGGAAGCCCTGATTCCGGACTCGGGGCTGTGTAAAACGCCTAAAGGAAGTGGGGAAGGTGCCAAGATCTTTGTCTTGTTGCGATCCGCTTTCCTCACCACCTGGGGCATTTCCAAGGCAGATATGTCTGGGATGCTGGTGACAAACTGGGATGGGAGACCCCTAAATATGCAGACCGCAAAATCAAAAGGAGACATAAGATCACCGTGACAACTTCTCTGTACATCCCTGATTTGGCACGCTGTGTCCGACATAAAGGACACCTCACGTTGGATTGCATCCTGTACCTGGCCTATAGCCTCTGCTTGTCTAGGCCAGAGAGTCTCGCCGATATGGAACGGAGCACAGTTGACTTACCCCCAGTGGCTTAGATTCCTTCATGAAGAAGTTTTGTGTAGGGCCCACCACCGAAGGCATCTTTTTGGGAATTATTTTTTGAACAGGATTCATGGCAGTCGGACCTTTCATAGCATCTGCTGGGAGAGTTCCACTCATTGAATTTCTGGGTGTCGCCATTTCACCCTCAGAACTCCTAAAAATAAATAATAAAACGGGGGAGAGAGAGAATAGGATTTTCAGCGGTCTTCTGTCTCATGCATTGGCATACTTTTCCCTTTATTCTCTCCGTGAGTGTCGTTGAGGATAGACATGGACTTTTCCCAGTGGCTTTGGGTCTGAGGCAAAGCCTACTACTATGTTCTAGCATCTCAGGCAAGGACATAGGGCCCCTGGAAATCCTGCCGGTATTCTTGACAACAATGTTTGGGGCATACTTTATCATGGAAGAGAACACCATGCTCATGTGTCCACATGTCCTGTTTGTTTCTCATCCCTGAATGCTTTTCTTACGCTCTCATATTGGACAGTGTATTTTGTATTGACTTTTCCTTGTCCTTTTGCTTCTCTGCCTTTGTCCATTGTGATGGGCCAGAGGCATCATGAGAGATAAGTGTCTGACTTCGGCTCAGGTCATGATCTCGCAGTTCATGAGTTCGAGCCCCTCTCTGCCCCTCCCCCACTCGTGCTCTGTCTCTGTCTCTCTCTCTTTAACATTAAATTTAACATAACATTAAATTTAAAACATTTTAAAACATTAAATTTAACATAATGTCTCTTTAACATTAAAAGTGTTAGAGAGAGAGGGAGAGTCAGATGAGGACCGTCCTTAGTCAGCAGAGGCCGATTCTAGTCTTCCTTTACCACCAACTCTGCAACCTTGAGGAATCACTTTAAGGAGGTTCTCAGAGGTTGTATGTAAGACTGGCCTCCTGACACGGGTTGCCTAGGTTTAAATCAAATTCTATTTGCGGTGAAACTACAGGAAAATTCTTTAAACTCTGGGCCTTCTGCTTTTCAGCTGTAAGATGGGAATAATAATTCTTGTCTTATGGTATAGGGTTTCTGTAAGACTCAAATGGACTGATGAGCTGTGTGTGGCTGGTGTCTTCATTTAGGTATATCTCAAATGTCAGCCTCTCAGAAAAGCCTTCCCCAAACCCTCGGTCCACAGCGCAGTCTTTTTCACAGCACCCGTTTTATTTGTGTACGTGGCCCATATCACTGCAGGGAATTACCTTGATTATCTGCTTGCTTGTTTACGGTCAGTCTCTTCCCACTAGAATATAAATCCCTTCAAAGCAGAGACTTTATCTGTCTTGTTCAGTATCTAAATGGTACCTGGATCGAATAGTTTCTTAATATTACTGAGGAAATAAATGTATGTAAAGCACCCATGTCTGAATAATTATTGCCTGTTTTTGTCGCTATTCTTGTTTTTACTATCATTACCTCAGTAGGCATTAGTTTCTATATTTTTCCCCGTTGGAAAAATGAGAACAACGTCCCTGTCACAGACGTGTTGTGAGAAAGAAGTTCAGACGTGAAAATGCCTCCTACATGGGGAGAAAGGAGCAAGTGCTGTTTGTTCCTAGAATTCATGCTTTATTCATTTCTGAAGTTAGATGGTGATTATTACCGAGACCCTTTCCAGCTCTCATGTTTTAAGACTGCCCAGTTTTCTTCATCTTGTGCTTCGTCTTGGAATTTATGTTTGTGTCAGCTACTTTCGTGAATTCTATCGGGTCTTTCCTGGGCCCTGGAACTCTCCTTAGAGATGCACCTTTGGTCTCGTCCTTGTTGGCTGTCAGTCACGTAAGGAGCCTTGGAGACAAAGACTGTCTGTCCAGCTTGCTTATCGTACTGAAGTCACACCAAGCCCGGCACTGTGGTATAGGACAGGTCCTTGGGAGTCACCCAGGCCTTACGTTTGCACCCAGTGTGTGGTTACAAAGAGATTTCGCATCCTCAGTTCATTGAAGCCTCACAGAGTAGACAAGGGATGAACTGTTGCTTTCATTTTGTAGAAAAGGTGGTAAAGGCACAGAATAGTTAGTCCCTTGTTCCCAGTTACATGACTACCGGAGATCGAAAGTGAGGGCTTGGACCTCTCCAACGAGGCATCTATGACTGCTTTGTCTGCGTGCAGACCAGGGGTCAGCCTTTCACTTATGAACCTCTCCCTACTTCAGGTGGATGTGCTGTTTGGATGACTACTATAAAGCAATTGAAAACAGACTCCCTGTCAGGAGGACAGAGGAGACTTCGGCTGGGTGCTCTGCACTTGATTTCACCCCACCTGCCGATTACCAGATGTCATGCGGTCTTGGAGGTCTCGGTGCTTTGCACCACAAACCACACCCAACAAGATGACTGACAAAAAAGGAGTGTACCAAGGTAGGCCTCTAAGGAGCCTCCAGATTGATTCTGGCCAGCAGGCAGAACTTTGGGAGCTGGTCAGAAGCTCAGAAACCATTGTGGCCATTTGATAAATGAGGAAACTGTGGCCCAGGGATGGGCCGCGCCTCGTCACAGACCTTGCACCTGGTGACAGAGCCGACCAGAAGGCAGTCACCGCGGCTCTGAGGCCGGTGCTCTCTCTGCGGCCCCACAGCCAGACCATGTCGTGTAGTTGTTTATGGAGCATCCTCTATGTGCCGGGGTTACCGCACATCTAGTTCCAGGTCGCCCAACACCTGTCTTACCCAGAAGGCATCTTGTCTTTTTTTGCAGGTGTGGAAATGCAGGTGCAGAGGGGTTGGTTCGTTTCCCCATTTGTAGGAAGGGAATGGGCTGGGAGTCACCACATTCCTCTCCAGGGGGCTCATTTTAGCGAGGACAACTTAAAGAGCAAAGGTCATCAATTATCTGGACAGAAGGAAATGATGGGACTAGTGTGGTTTGAATTTCTCCTTATTTTTCAGCTGCCTGAGGCTGTGTCACTGTTACTGGTGAGATAAACCTCTTAACGTAAGCAAGTTCTGCCGCGGCTGTATCTGTAATGGCTAATGGCAGTAATGACCACTGGGGGGAAATATTTTATTTCACTGGTAAAAGTGTGCCTGGGTGGCTCAGTCGGTTAAGCGTCTGACTTCAGCTCAGGTCATCATCTCACAGTTCGTGAGTTCAAGCCCCTCATCGGGTTCTCTGCCGTCAGTGTGGAGCCTGCTGCGGAACCTCTGTCTTTCCCCCCTTCGCTCTCTGCCCTTCTCCCATTTGTACTCTCTGTCTCTCCCAAAATAAATAAATAAACTTAAAAAAATGATGTCTCATTATGGCAACTGTACTCCTCTGAAGGCTTCAACACATATTACTGTAAAATAGTTTATAAACACAAACATACCCATCATTTTGTATGGAAATAAGCTTTCTAAAATATGTACATATTTCAATGCCAGGGCATTGTCGACCAGGAACTGAAAATTTTCATTGTATGGGAATACGTAAAATTAGACCACATACTCCCAAGGATATTGTAGATTCCCGCAGCTTTGCCCTGTGCTTGTTTCTTAATTGTTCACGGTGCTTTAAAACTGTGCCCGGCACACAGCTCTGCTCAAAGCCCGGTTCGTACATCCGCAGGGGTGACTGAGCACATTGGCCAAAATGTGGTAACAGCAGGATTTTGTGCTCACTAAACTATATCACCCTCAGGGCTCGGTTTATCTGACACTGCCTCACTCTATTACAGCGACTTCTGCAAATCTCTTCTGGTTTTTCAAATGCACCACTGTTTCTGGGTGCATCCACTGCAGGACAGTCTCACAGCCTGTATGGGTTTGGGTTTGAATAATGACTGTTTAGGTCCAGTAATTACATCACTTAATGAGAAGTTCAAAGCTGCCTAGCTTTCGTTACCTCCACTTCCTCCCCTGCCACTCAAAATAGTTCTGTGTTTCTGCCCTTTCTGGTCCTGTGCGCTGAGCTCTGAGGAGGAATGTTCTTGCTTCCATTCCCTCTGCCTGGGCTCCTCACCCCCTCTCCAGCCCCCCTCCTTCCTCCAGGATGGCAGCCCCTCAGGGCAAGCGGGTCTTGTGTCTTCAGTCCGTGTGCACTCGCGTGCCACAGAAAGTGCTAGTCCCAGCTCTGGGGCCTGCCACGTCTGTGACCTCGCTGCTCAAAGTACTGTCTGAGAACGTGGGAGAATTTGCAATTTATAATGTAGTAAACTCTCAGAGGATAACTGTGTCTTTTGGAGGACTGAGATGTACCGCAGCGTCCCCATTCCCAAAGCCCCTTCCTTTCATCCAGCAGCCACTGCCCAGGCCCCCCTCTGTCATCCCCGGCGTCTTCAGAGCCCTTCCACTCTGTCCCTCCACTTCTTCCCCACCCGTCCCCTCTGGGGGCCTCGCAGCAGGTGGGCAGAGCCGCTGGGCTGAGGCCGCTTTGTGCAAGGACTGCCCTGCAGAGTCAGCGGCCTTTCCTCAGGCGTGAGCACTCAGATGGCTTTATTTCTGTCCCCCTGGCACCCAGGTTCCAAGAGCTGGAGCCGCGGTTCTCTCCAGCCCCTTCACCTCCACGCCCAGTCAGGGCCCAGGTCCTGCTGCTTCTTCCTCTGTAAGGTGTCTTCTCTTGCATGCGGACCATTTTCTACCTCCAGTGTCACCCCCTGAGTTTCTCATTTCCTCCGCTGGTTGAGCACAAAAATCGTACTCTTCTGCCTTCAGTCTTGCTCTCGTCTAATCCATCCTCCACAGGGGCGGCTAGAGCAGGCCCTGAATCACTGCTTTAAGTCCTGCTTGACCTGAGCTTCAGCTCTTTGTCTAGTCTGTCTTGGCCTCCTGGGAAAACCTGCGCCGGCCCCCCCCCCCCCACCCCATGGCCTTCACGGAACATCTCGGCGTCCCATTCGGAAGCCACACCGCACCGCTCCCCGCTGGACCGCTGGTCTGGAGGTCTCTTCCTCTCTCTTCCCTCTCCGCTTTGAAATGCTCCCCTCCTGCCCCCTTCGCGGTCTCCCCATTAGACATTCACATCCTTGGGACTGTTCCCGGCACGGACTCCTTCAAAGGCCCCAGCTCTCTGTATCCCTTACTTATCCTCAGCTGTTTTCTCCTCTAACTGGGGGTATGTTCCCCACGGGCTGTCCTGCTAGGGTTACGTGGAGAACCTGCTTTCCATGTACTACGGGCTCGATAGATGTTAAACGACTTCCTCAGCGAAGATTCCCACGTGAGCCCGCAGGATGTTGGACCAAAAGGTGGTCATTTCACCTCACCTGATGATCAGTGACATCAGACCATTTTGTGGAAAACAGGGAAAGGCGGTCACATTATATACTGGTTCAGGAAACAATTATGACATGGCTAAAGCTCATCTTTGTTGCCCTTCATTAGATCTTCCTCATCTGCAGTGCCCACTCTCACTGCAGGCTTCTGTGATGGATTTGAGGCGGGATCTGACGCTCCGTTTCATGTCCCCCCCCACCCACCCCGTCCTCCAGTCCCCTCCAGAACTTGTTAGCCTGCGAGGTTTAACAACATTTGGGGTATTCACATTTAGCAGCATATCTTTGGAGACCAAATCATTCAAAGCAAGAGAAATGGAAATATTTTCATTATAACCACGGCTGATTATTTTCTTCTTCAGTGCCAGGTGGTTCTAAGAACCTTAGGATTTTAGCTCATTTAATCTTATGTAAAGCAGCGAGTGTTAACCGTCCGTCACCCCCATCTTGTGGGTGAGTAAAACCAGGGATGTAGAGGTTTGGTGACTTGCCTGTATCTGTCAGAGGCCCCAGGCCTGCCCTGTGTCACTCACCTCCTGTGTACGTGGGACACCAGCAGTGGAAGTGAACCACTGTAGATACCTTATAGGCGGTGGAGCTCCGGTTGGAGCCCAGCAGATTGGTAACCACGCTCTCGTCTACGTGCTACAGTCTGCTGCTTTTGTTCAGGACACCCAGTTCACTGGCCAGCGTCTTTCTTGAGGGAGGGAGTGGTTCAGAAAGCGGGTGGGCAGCAAAGCCTGGTACCCCTCCTCAACTTGTGACACTGTCAGAAAACCCGACTGGGGAACGAGAAACTCGAGTCTCCAAAACCATCCTATGCTATACACGTCACTCCCTTTTAGTCTTTTTTTTTTTTTTTAAGTTTTTATTTATTGTGAGACAAAGAGAGTGTGCAGGAGGGGCAGAGAGAGAGAGAACCCCGAGCAGGCTCCACACTGCCAGCGCAGAGTCCAACACGGGGCTGGAGCCCACAAACCGTGAGCTCATGACCGAAGCTGAAATCAAGAGTTAGACGTTTAACCGACGGAGCCCCCCGGACACCCCCTTTTTAGTCGCTTAAACAAAGCAAACTGGTTGCTTACCTGAGTGTCTGAGGCCTTAGGTCTCAAGGCTGACTCGGATGCTGGCTGCCGAGTTCACTTCCACTGCTGGTGTCCCACGTACACAGGAGGTGAGTGACATAGGGCAGGCCTGGGGCCTCTGATAGATACCAGGTGACAGGAAATCAGTGGCTTCTGCTACCTTGGCCTTTGCCCCAATCACTTTGGTTTAATGCACACATGCCAGAGCCAAAGGATATACAAAAAAGTTTCTGCCTTACCATGAGGTTTCACTTCTCAAAAAGGATCCCAGGGGACTGCCTGGCGTACTTTACGCTCCCCTAATTAGAAGAACTTTGCAGCCCCCACCCTGTAAGCAGGTGTGGACGGTGGGTCCCCAAGGGCAAGAAGGGCTCTAGAAACTCTCTACAGATGGGCTGCTAGGACTTTTACCTTTTTACTTCACTTTTAGGAGCGAGTGGGTGGGAAGAAGTCATCCAAGCAGAGAGATTCGGGAATCAGTAAGCCCGGTTGCTCGGGAGTATTGCAGGTATCCCTCTGCAACTATTGTCCACGTTTGCCCGCACTTAGGGTCCTCGTGGGACCATGTATGTCTCGTGTGGGATTTACTAGAAATGGCCTAAAAAATATACTTTGGTATTGTAGAGCACAGACCCAGAAGCTTGAGGCAAGAGTTGCGTGTTTGGGGATACAAACTCAAGTAGCACTTTTACCTACAGACTCACTTTTCCCACCATCTTTCTGGTTCTCTTGCGTCGCCTCTCTCTTCAGTCTGGCCTGGAGCTGTGCTCGGGGTAGATCAAGTGAGGGATGGAAGAAGCCGGTGGCCAGGAAAGTGTGAACGTTTGGGAAAGGAATTTTTGCCCAAAGGTTTCGTACTCCTTGCCTCCACCTATACAACCCCTATGTTCATGCTGTTGGATTTTTTTTTTTTTTATTGCTTTTTAGTTTCCTTGTGCATCGCTTTATCTTATTAGGGAGTCAGGGCTGTAACTAAGCAATTGTTTGCCTTCATCTAGTGCTGAAAGAAGGCTGCACTCCTGCCAAATCTGAGTTAATTCCTATCTTCCCTCCATCTCTCCCTCCCTCCGTCCCTCTCTCTGTTTTCCTCCCTCTCCTCCTCCCTCCCTCCTCTCTTCTCTATTTCTCCTTCTCACTCTCTATTCTTTAAGATGGTTCAGACTGGAGGGTCATAAGCAATGGGCGGTAATCGTTCTGGAGTGGCTGGTCTGGGTGCAACATAAAAACAAACGACACCTCCCCACCACTGAAGCAGGTTGTCAGTGGAACGGGCTACCATTTGAATAGAGGACTTGCTGTCATCAGTGTCCACACGTGAAAGGCACGCAGTCACCTCCCATAAATTTCGTAGAAGGGAAGTGGGGCCATAAGCTCCACCATCCATCTCAGATTCTGGTTGTGGGTCTGAGGATCCGCTGAACTGCTTGAACAGTCGGTGCCGGGGATGATCATTAACGTGACATTGGAGTTGTGGATGATGGGGAGGCGTGAGGCTGGAGTCCAGGACGGTGGGTGGTCACTGGAGCGCACCTTCATTTCAGTGAGCATGGAAACAGGGTCCGGGCTTGCTCACGTATGGCATCAGTGAGGCTCGGACTGGGTTTGCACAACCTGAATTCCACATCCTTTTCTCGTGTCGGCCCTGTTCTGCCCACGTCTGGCTTAGAGTGTTTGCTACCCTGTTCTTGGTGGCCAGTGAGATCAGTTAGGTGGCTCTATGATAAATAAACTTGAATTTGAAGTTTGAATAAAATTGAATTTGAATAAACTTGAATTTGATTCTGCATAAACAAACAAACTTTCACTTTACCTTTGCTGGTTTGGATTGATTGACCTTTCAGTGCTTGAGTGTGTCGACATCCCCACCACAGTTTGGATTTGCCGGTAGCACTTGCTCTATAATTTTTTTTCTCTCTGTAATGTTTGAGGATATTGGGTCTGCCACCCATTTAAAATCTCTCCCCCTCTGAATTCAACCTCCTGTCATTACCTAGTGGCTTTCTTGCTTCCTGATGATGGTCTCTCTCTTAAAGTCTACACACAAGTTTATTAACTAAACTTTAATTTAGTTCAGTTTGCCTTCCTTTTATCCCCCCACCTCCTAACACTCCTACTTTTTTTTTTTTTTTTTTTAATCCTTGGGACATTTTGCCTCTCCTATGAAAACTACATTCTACAGCACAATGATATCTGTCCTTGCCTCACTCAGTCAGCCTTACTACACGTCCCTTGAAAGCAGGGCCAGTTTTTCTGATTGTTGAGAGATTGTGGTTCTGTTTTGGTTCTTTCTCCTTCTCCAGATGATTATCACAATGCTCTCTCCAGTATCAGGAGGTAATATTATGGTGTGTTCCCCAAGACAAGGTGCTGCTCAGCAAGGCATCGGGGACCCCGAATTATCTGGTGTTGGAGGGTTTCGGTTTCAGAGAATTGGTAAGGGAGAAGCAGGGTTCCTGAGAGGCGAAACTAAAGATCTTACTGCAAATAGATCTTGGTTATGACTTGGAAAATGTCACTGTTGTGTTTGTAAATCACTGATACCAAAGGAAAACGTAAATTCAAGTGCGTAAGAGCTTTGGAGTTTGTGAGGTCTTCCTTCTGATCCGAGAAACTACTTTATATTTTTAACAGGCAAATACTACTAGTTGAGCACCTACTTATATGCCAAGCACTGTCCGTATAACACCTGTAGTATTGATTCCGTTTTAGGATTGTGGAGACGAACATTCAGGAAATGAGGGAAACTGGCCCCGAGTCACATAAGTGATGAAATGTGACGTTGAGAAAGCAAGAAACCCTCAATTACAAATTTGAAAGAAATCCTGCCGTTTACGACGCGATTTTTAAGTTCTAGGCTCTGGTTAAATTAGTTCACATTTCATTTAAAGCTCACGGCGACCCCGTTAGGTAGGTATTACTGTTGCATTTTAGTCTAGGAATTCAAAGCTCACAAAGGTTAAGTAACTTGTTCAAGTCCTTAAGCTTTAAATGGCAAAACTAACACTGAGACCTGGATCTGACTTAAAAGCCCTTACCGTTAGGCGATGGTGTTCCCACCCTTAAATAGATCTCATATATCCACACATCTCAGCCTTACTCGGCTGCCGCGTAGTTTTCATCAGAACATGACTCCACTGGAAATAGATATTTTAAGTAAATAAAATGACTATTTTTCATCAGAATCTTGCTCCCCCGTCTCCTACCGTCACACATGTATGCATAGGCCTTTCTCCTTCCAGCTTATGGCAGAAACGAAAACCTGATAGTGTATTTCTTTGCATATGCTAAACGTTTTCTGCGCCAAAAGCAGCATAGGATGATGAGATTTGGAGTTTGGCGTCTTGATTCAAATCCTGGTTCTAAATCCTACTCCCTTTTGTAGTCTCAGAAAACTCAACCGCTTTGAGCTTCGGTTCTCATGCTTAAGGGGCAGGCTCCACATAGCTCCCTCAGAGGGCTGTCCTGACAGGTGGAAAGACAGAGGGAAGATCCCCAGTACTTGGCGGATAGTGTCAGCGGAAGGAAATGCAGTGTAAGGCGGCCGTCTCTGCATGCAGCCTGGGAATCTCCCGGCGTCCTTGAGGCTCTTTCAGGGGGTCTGTGACCTCAAGATCGCTTTCATAATAATACTGAGACCTTAGTTCCCCTTTCCACAAGTTTAGAGCGGTCTCTCCACAGGCCACAGAACATGAGCCATCACATCAGACGGGCTGCGAAAGCAGTTACCAGAATCCAGTTGCCTTCCATTAAGCTAGAGAGAAGCTCTGCACTGGAACCACCTGGAAATCTTTACAAATTATTGATGCCCAGCTCTCACCACATTCTTATTTGATTGCCATGGGGTGGGGTGGTGCATTAAGGGGGGGGGGGGGGTTTATAAAAGTTGCTCGGGTGATTTGAATGTGCAGTAAAGTTAAATGGGCATTTGATTCTCAATGGGTATAAAGTTTTTGTTATTCAAGATGAGTAAGTTCTAGAGATCTGTGCAACAGAGTACTTAGTTACTAATACAGAATTGTACACTTTAAAATATGTGAAGAGAATAGACCTCACATTAAGTGTTCTTGCCAAAAAACAAACAAAAAACCCTCAAAAAAGCACAGGAACATTTTTAGAGGTGATGGATATGCTGAGTACCTTGGGCATGGGGATGGCATCAGGGAATACGTATACATGAAACGTGTGCATTTTTTTGGTATATAAACTATACCTTTAAAAAATAAAAATAATGTTAAGTAACCTAAAAAAAAAAGGATTTGTAAAACTATGTAACAGCACCACTCTCCACACTAATTTTCTTTTTTCTTTTGGAAAAAATGTCATGTTAATAAAATGTTGTGTTAATAAAATGTTACTTGTATTATGTGGGATGGGTCTTGAATAATTGTTTTGAGTGTAAAGGGGTTCTGAGACCAAGAGTTTAAGGGACGTTGGCACGTGGGTGTAGGGATCAAAACCCTGGACTCTGGAGCCAGGCCGCCTGTTTCTGTCATGGCTCTGACATTGTGGGCTTTGTCACCGGGGGCACTTTACTTACCCTCTCTTGACTTCAGCTCCCTGGCTCATGAAATGAATATAACAGTAACATTCACCTCTTAGACTTTTTGTGAGGTTCAATGAGTAACACACCTAAAACAGTTAGCACAGTGCCCGGACCGCTCTAGTGGCTTTTACCGATATATACCTTCATTGTTAACTATTCTGGTTATTATGAGTGGCTAACATTAATGATCTTGCAGGATCATTGTAAAATGTGTGGGTCGAGCCATTCTTCCAGACCACCTCATTTTTCCATACAACCAGGGAGAAGGAGCCATTAGGTAGAGTCTCTTGGAGAGATCGGCAGGAGACGTCACGGACCTGCTCACCCCCACACCGTGGGCTTTGGCTCATTTCTCTATTTGTACGGTGGCGATGCTGTGTTGCTCAGCGGATGCACGAATAACAGGAGGCGACAGCAAGGTGATCATGTGATTGAGGGAGAGGAGGACCTGGCAAGGATGTGTTTTATTAGCCAGAATGCTCCCAGAGCCCACCCTCTGAAGTCACTCCCCTTTTGCTTCAGACAGTTGCCAGCCTTAAGGTTCTATGTTCCTGCTGGCTTTTTCTCCCACACGGATCTCACCTCTTTAGGAGGTGAGGAGGAACTCACCTAAAGATTGTAACACATCTTTATTC